AATATTTTTTATTTAAATAAGAATTACATTAATGATTCAGCGATGTTTGTTTTAGACTAAAAATGTCATTTATTGTTAGTATTAAATAATTTTAATGATTAGTTTGTTTAATAATGTTATATCTACACTGTAGATTCTACAGTATTGTAGACATTTCGTTAACATTTAAACAAAAAGGCTTATAAATGTAAACAAATACAAACTGAATATATTATGCAATTATAAAGTATGATGAATAATTATGTAGCATTTAAATTCAAGCATTACTCCAATCAAATCTTATAAATTTACATTTCATATAAATTTTAAATTATTTTGAATTAAACATAGAATTTTTTATTGATACTTTACAATCATTTAAATTTATAATATACAGGTTCCAATTCAAGCATTACTCCAATCAAATCTTATAAATTTACATTTCATATAAATTTTAAATTATTTTGAATTAAACATAGAATTTTTTATTGATACTTTACAATCATTTAAATTTATAATATACAGGTTCCTTGATGCAAATGTAGCAAAATGACAAAATATCATAATATCTTATAAGATAATTCATTTTAAATCTATTTTAAATGATATACTAAAAGTAATACATACTAGCTTACAGTATTATAATAAAAAGTAAGTAGTGGTTGGAAGTAGTGAGAGGTTTACGTTTGACTAAACCTTTATCTCTATATTCAATACAAGAATTGAAATGCATTTTAAAAATATTTTTAATATTCAAATCCAGAGAATTTTATATTAAAATTTATATTTAAATTATTCATTATATTTACCCAAAGTATTTATAAAAATAAAAATTATATTCATATTTAATATCACATATAATCTCGTTTTTGAATAAAAAAGTTTGAGATGAGAAAATAGATATNGAGAATTTTATATTAAAATTTATATTTAAATTATTCATTATATTTACCCAAAGTATTTATAAAAATAAAAATTATATTCATATTTAATATCACATATAATCTCGTTTTTGAATAAAAAAGTTTGAGATGAGAAAATAGATATTAAAAACTTTTTCATTACTTTTTGCTCTCCGAATAGGATTTGAATAAATAAATATTAAAGTGAATAAAAATTATTTTTCAAAACTGTATTATATTTTATGTACAATTGAATGCTTTTCTATTGAATTCAACTATAGGTTTTGTGGTGGAAATAATCTTCTGTAAGTTTTTTTACATTTTTATGAAATAAGATATTTTATCAATTGAATGTTAGCTATATTTGAATTCAAGAATTTGCTTATTATTTTCCAAATTATGTTTGTCTTTCTGAAATAGTAAACATTATACATATATTTTTTATATTAATATTGAATTTAAAATTTATTTTTAGAGAGAGAGAGAGAGAGAGAGAGAGAGAGAGAGAGAGAGATCACATAATTCTCTAAACTCATGATCAATTCTATTAATTATAAATTTCAATGAAACTCAATTGTATCATATATTATATTCTTAATACAATATAAATACTGTGTATTAATTATATACAATTAATCAAATAAAATTCTATACAACAGGGTATCAGAGGATTTGGAAATAAATTTAATACATTATTCATGAATTACAGAATGCAGGGACATTTTGATCACACACAATAGGTATTAATATTATCTTACCTCATTAATTAATATATTATTTTAAACTCTTATCTAACAAGCATATTAAGAAAATGTTTATAAATTTAATAATTTAATGATACTTTATAATTAATAAATTGTAAAATTAATGACTACTATTTTACCAAAATTTTATTATTGTTTTATCTAAATTTTACATTTAAAAATTTAATTAATATTTTAAAAGTATTACAATTTAAAAGTAAATAATAAAATGAAATCTTATGTAAAATTAAGTTAGTTTTATTGGTTTTATTATTTAACAATTAAAAGTATAATTATTTATTGCACACAAGATTAGTGATGTTAAATTTAAATTATAATATGAGAAAATAGTTGACTAAAGTCTAGACAAACAACTAATGCTGAATACAATAGAAAATCTCAAAAGTAATTATATCATATAATTTATCGGAAAACTAAAATGTGATTTAACATATAATCCCTTTGTAATAGAGGTAAAGTCTCTGAAAATGAGTGCAATCATTGTGAAAACCACTTTACATTTTCAGACGACTGAAAATGCATTATAGATATACTCTAAAGCCTAAACTAAAAACTCAATTATCTTACATAAGTGCACCAAATTATTAGTTTAATATCTAAAACATAAAATTGCAGTAAAATGTTTTTCAGTTTTTAATCCAATTTAAAACATTTATATGGCTGAACATTGAGTCCATTTTAAGAGCTATTATAAAAAATATTATATAATAAAACTTTGTTCGGAATCTAATAAAATAAAATAAAATATATAAAACTTTGATAAAATTAAATTCATGTTTAAACAGTACTCTGTATAATACTTGTATCATAGAAAATAAGTGATGGATGAGATTAAGTGTATTAATGTCCGGCATAAAGATTTCTGACATTTTCGAGCTCTTGATTGAATTGGTGATCATCGGGGATATGAAAGACAAGATCACACAAATCGTATTGAACGCCATAGCTCTCGGCCCCTGACTGTCTCATATTGTACAGGGCCACTCTATCCGTGTCGTTGGGCTTGATTTGAATGTACAGAAATAGAAAGGCAACAGCCCCTAAAGTGGCACCCAATGCCACCATCACTGGTATTATATACAGGCTATAATCGCTATCGGTGGGACTATGACCAGGGCCAACATTGTAGACAAACCACAGCACAAGTAGTGCTATGTTTTCTACGGTTATTATGAACAGGAACTTAAAGGGTCGACCATTTGTTTTTAAATTAAACATAATGGGCCATATTAGTAGGGATGGGATGCCAACAAATATGACAACCGATAGGAGAAGGGATACTCTTTTCCAATTAGACACATCGATTTGATGGCTCCGGTATGAGTCCATTGAAATTATGTAGACCCACACACTTATGAGCAACACATGTATTGCGAGCAATATCACAAAATATTGCCCTAGCACACGTAGTGCCAAACAAAACAATATTATTCTGGATGTGAACAGCGATATCCAACCCAATAATGACAGTACGCGAGTGGCATAGCCATCATCGCGCCGGTGGATAGAAATTAAGAGTGAGAGTAACAATGATACGGAACTACCCATTTGGATATAAGCTGCAAACATATTATAATTAGCAAGGTATAAAAGTAAATATAGAATTTGGTTTTATGAAAATACTTACAAATATCAATTGATTTTGTATTGTTTTTGTCCAATTGACTCAAATATTCATAAGTTATGGACATAATAGTCAGAAACCCGGCGTAAAACTCCTCGAAAAAGCCCATTATCTCTGAATTCTTGTGGTAAGAGTCGATGTGATTGCGTTCACTATCATCAGGTGGGCGCCAAACGCACAGTCTGTCCGATGCATACTTCAACACATCTAAATAACTATGAATTGTATTTAAACACCAATTAATATGTGTGTCATTTCGCCTAAACCTCACTTACCTCTTGATCAGCCACGGGATCAATAGAAGCCCTTTCACTGTCTGTGTCATGAGATTACAAATGGTAAGCCTTTCATCTTTGATGAGACATTTGGCCATTGAGTAGAAGCCGTGAAAAAGTGTCGGACATATGAGTGCCGACATCGTAATGATTAGTAAATTGAAATCATTGTTAGTAATGTACTTTTGACAATCATTGAAGTCATGAAACAATTTGATCAAATAGTTCACCAAACGATATAACGAGAGAATTAGACTTATTTGAAATAAATACATCTCTCACTCAATCAATCTATTTCACAAGTTTTATGAAACTATTTTTAGCCTTTTAGTTCATTTGCTATTCAATTATTTGCTTGTTTCAATTTATGTGAGAATTCTAAGTTCTAATACTAATTATTCATTATTTAATAAAACCTTTTAGCAGTCTCATTTTATAAAACAAATTGAATCGATTGTAGAGAATTTCATGTTATATAAGGAGTTTTAATGGCAAACTTGTAGCTATTTAGGGAGAAAACTTTTTTGAATTTATTTTTAACTGATATAGTTTTTTGCAAAATACAAATTAGATATAAATAACGACAATATAATAATAATTTTTTTTATTAATATTTAATTTATATTATATGAATTAACACTTCAAAGAGAGCCATACTATGTATGGCTATGTATCAGATGTGTCCAGATATTATTTATTTATGTTTTTTACAGGTAAACAATTTTAGAGTCAATTCTAATTAATGTTATATGTAGATATAACATTATTAAACAAACTAATCATTAAAATTATTTAATACTAACAATAAATGACATTTTTAGTCTAAAACAAACATCGCTGAATCATTAATGTAATTCTTATTTAAATAAAAAATATTTATTAACAAATATTTAATGTCTGGAACTAAAAGTAAAATAACTACAATTAATAATTATATATATTTGTTAAAACCCAATATGCTTTCAGTGAGTGAGTGAGTGAGCGAGTGAGAGAGAGAGAGAGAGAGAGAATATAGTATATATTGTAGTGTGTAGTGTGTATATATATATAGTGTATACTGTATAAAACAATAATCTATAGTTGTCTTTTGGCAAAAACTTTTTTACATCACATTATTATATCAAAAGCATTGAATATCTGTCACACGTTATTCCAAACACTGTTATCAATGGATTCCAACACTTTCTCTCGTTTTTTGTGTGCATTTCCTCCAAACGCTGTCTCATTCAGTGTAGCCGTCAGTCAGTGGGAGAGCCTATGAAAGGAAAGCATATATTTATTTATCGATCGAAATAATTCTTACGACTCTTAGAGTGTGTGTTATAACAGAAATTCCGTTCAGTTGTGTATCGGAAGCCGTACGACAAACGACGAGTGCTTTTGCGATGAAAAACAGATTAAACTTAACTTTCTATTTGTTTTTCGACAAATACTATACCTATGTTTGACTCAAATGGAAATAAAATATAAAGTTTCTTATTTCGTAAATTAAATGTTCAAACAATGAGCCGAAAAAATTTCGGACAAAAAATATGTCGAAATTCTGTAGAATTTCTTTTGGCAATCGAAATGTATTTTTTTCTCATATGAGATATTCATGTGAAATATAAATAGAAATTCAATATTATTTTTTTCAATACACTCAACAATACAATAAATTCGGAATATTCTGTGTCATTGTATGCATTTTTTTCGTGGGTGAAAGTGGACGTGAATGCAAAAGTTTAATGTCTATATAAATATACACACATATAAGACATGTTAGTTTGAGCCCTTCATGCCATACCAGTCCACTCGAGTGTTATGTAATGTCTTATATTCCGCACATTATGTTGAATGAATGAATTGAAACACAATCCACGAGAATATAATGGATAGGAATTCATCGATGGATTAGTTTAATAAGCAGTGCATAGGATAGAGAGGGCAGCGAAACAGCAAAAGTTTTTGGCCGTCGATTCAAATCAATGTCATAGAGCTGTCAACCCATTCATTACTACCATTGACTCTATTATCATGAATACGATTTGCTTTTGTTATAATAAATACAGTCTTAACCGATAGTTCAATGACTGTTGAAACTGGAGTCTTCATATAATATCGGAGTTCATTAAAAAACGGTAAGAAAATGTTTTTGATTTTGTTTCACACTCTATGTGTTGAAGTGTTTATTATACACTTTTGGACACTTGACTTATACAGAGTATTTGAAATCATATACACTTTTTTCGCTCATTATATAACGATAACTAAATTTTAATATAAGTAGGTGAAATAGTAAATAATTTAGTGTTTACGGTATAAATGTAATTCATGGAAATGTGTTTTACGGTAATATTCAAAGTAATTCACTGTAATATACCAACTTTTATGCAACGAAATATAAAATCAATGCAAAAGTTATTACAAGTGAATGTAAAATATAAACGAAATGTTCATTCATTACTCATTTATTGGAATTTTCTCTTTTAATAACATTTTGATTAGTTTTAGTTTGAATGACAAATACTTTTGACGTTAAGTTTCGGAAATAATATTTTCTAAGAGAATAGAGAAGTAAAGCGAAAAAAATCTAATGAATTATATGAAAATAAATGGTTCGCTCGTAACAACACTTGACAACAGATTTTAGTTGACTTAATATTGAATTGATTTGAATATTTTGGAGTTTAGAGAAAAACTTGAGAAGCAAAACAAAATAAGATATTGTATCTGAGAGTTAATACAATATATTTGTTTCGTTACTTATCAAGACTTTATTTAATGAGGATTTGATTGAAAAAGCTTTTTATACAGTAGATGTAGAGTATAATGAATTTCATTGAATCAAAAAATCCTTAAAACTCTTAATAATTATTTGGTTTAGAATT